TCTGTTCCAAAATACCTTCTCTCGCCTGCCTATTCTGGGACTTTACCATTAGAGAATCATATCATTGGCTTCAACATCATCTTGATCTTGTCTTTCTCTTTTAAGATGCATGCCAGTTATCAATTTATTGCCTCCTCAGCTCCAAGTTTATCCTTCATTACCTGCTCTTCAAAAGTGGGCCTGTACCCTTTAAACATTTTCCATTGCAGCTGGCACCATTGTAAGTTACATCAATAGAGGATGCTGGAGAGACACTGCAGGAGGAAGGGGATTTCTGTCCTGGCTCCCTATGCTTGCCTGACAGACTCCTGCAGCTTCCCAGGCTCCTGTAGCACCAGCAGCTTCTCCAGTGCCCAGCTCCTGTAATGCACAGTGGCCAGCAGCACCCAGTGGTCAGCAGCTTCCCTGGCACTTCCCTCACCTTGGGTAGTTTTATAGCAGAGTACTTCTGGTGAGATATCGCCCTGTGATCAGCTTTTCCTGCAACCCTAGAAAGCAGATTTCCAGCAAGTTCCCCCGGTGCAGCATCCCGGAGTCTTCTCTGCCATCTGGTGAGCCACAGCTGTGCCCTCTTCAAGAAGGTCTGAATCTCGGCCCTGGGGGCCTCTTCCTCAAGACCTCTGTCTCAGCCCTATGGGTTGTTGTTCCTTATCTGCCATTCCTAAATTCTTTAGAGCTCTCTTTACTTCTTACTAACTCTTTGCTACTTTAATCCCCTGTTATAGTTAATAATTTTTTATGTTGTACTTTCTCTGTCCCAATTATAGATTCTCCCTCTTGATTGCATCCAGAGTGATAGGGGATGCAAATGTCCTTGGGGTTGAATTCACAGGCAGTCAATGACACTTTAGTGTAAAACAGTTTTGTTTTGTTTTTCTGGCATCTAGAGAGCAGCAGGTGCCTTGGAGCTGAGAGAGGGGACCATAAGAAGAAAGACCCAGCAGGGGATGTTGGAAAAATCCAAATGACGAACTTTGCCTATTTCACAGTTTTGCCATGGGCTGACTATAACTGTTAAGTGTTCATTTTTATCTCAGTGCAAAACATCTTTGGTTCCCTAGGGTCAGCCTAACAGCACCAGAAATAGAATGAAAACACTAGTTTTCCTGGTGAAGCAGCAACTATTGCACTTTGATAAGCTCCGTACGTTTCCCCCTTTGTTGTTTTGTTTCTTAATCACACATAAAAGTGTGTTGCCATAGAAAACGGAAAGAGGACAGCTCTGGACATTTTATTTCATTGAACAGAGCCATGCTACTCCCTGGGTGTACATTAGCTCCTTCAGACAGGACATTATCACCTTCAGGCTGCAAGGAAAACGTGAATCAAAACTATGAGGATTGTCAGACAATGAAATGGCTCAGTTAAGGAGAGACTGGCATTGCCTTTCTCTGGGGATTATTAAGAATAGGATGGCAGCTTGTGTCTTTAGGATGGTGTACGTGTGGTCTTGATTAAAAGCAGGAGTAGGAACAAGACAACAGCCAAGCTCCCATCCAACTTAAAAAAAAACTTAAAAGCAACATATCTACACAATTTAAAAAACAAATTGTACAGACGGCTTATTTAGAAAATCAACTGTCCTCTCTTTTACCTTCCTTCTCCCACCATCCACTGATTCCTGCCCCCTCAGTTCTCTTCATGTTGTGGGTTATATCTTTTTCATATTCCTTCATTGTCATTCTAATGGGTCCTAGGAAGGGAGCAGACAGACACCCATGTGCACAGTCTGCCATCTTGAAAAATAAGCCTTCCTCTCAAGGTTGACTCAATTTTTTCTTAGGGAACAACTTAAGAAACAGAATCCAGTGCTCTGAAAATTCTCTGCTTGCCAAATCAAAATGCATATATATATGTGTAGCATTTAAGTCTGTAATGGAAACATACTTCTTCCATCTAGTCTAGTCCTTTTGACCTTCTAGATATTTCTCTGTCCTATTGGCCACTTGCGTTCAGAACCCAGGCTTTTCGTCCTCATCCATCCGGTGCTCTTTGGACAAACATTACCTTGAACATCTACACTTTAAAATTTTCCACATAGGTCAACTGTTACAATGGCAGATTGTAGTATTATTATCAGGGTAAAAACAGCAATATTGGGCTTCCCTGGTGGCGCAGTGGTTGAGAGTCCGCCTGCCACTGCAGGGGACACGGGTTCGTGCCCCGGTCCGGGAGGATCCCACATGCTGCGGAGCGGCTAGGCCCGTGAGCCATGGCCGCTGAGGCTGCGCGTCGGAGCCTGTGCTCCACAACGGGAGAGGCTGCAGCAGTGAGAGGCCCGCGTACCGCAAAAAAAAAACAAAACAAAAAAACCCCCAGCAATATTGCAAATAGTGTATTGGTTACAACCCCAGAGTGCTATGCCCTGTGAAGAGAGACACAGTGGCAAAGCAGCTAGAACCAAAGTGGCTGAAGTGTCAGACCCTCCCACCGTGTCCTTCCCCTCTCCTGAGGATGGGTGTCCCCTCTCGCAGTAACTGTCTCCTCGGCTGGGGCCTCCTGCTGTATACCTACTACCTCTGCCCTTTCTGACAGAAAAATGGAGGGCTGGGTAGTGCATAGAAGAGAGAAATTAAGCTAAATTAATCTTTATCCAACCCACCACTCATGAATCCATCTATACCTCATATTTCCCTATTCCACTTCTCCTCAACTGCCACAAACACCACAGAAGGCCCTGCCTGACAGGCTCAGATACGCTAAAGCCATGTTTTAATCAGTCAGGAGCATCACATTTAAGTTCCTTTATGCTCATGGCCATTAGTCAATTATCTTTGTTTATTGACAGTTGTTTTAAAGACAGCTAATTGGGAGAATAGGATTGACATGTATACACTGATGTGTATAAAATGGATGACTAATAAGAACCTGCTGTATAAAAATATAAATAAAATTTAAAAAGAAGTAAGACAGCTAAGTAGACAGCACTGGTGGAATGCACCTTTATCTGGCTTGGTGTTAGTGACAGGGAAAAGAGCTGGGACTTCTATTTTGGAAAAAAAAAAAAAAAAAAAAACCATCAAAGCTCCTTAGCACATAATACATTTCAGCCATCAGAGCCAGAATCCAAAAATGTAATAAAGGCAAGTGAAAAATGCTTATAATCGTCATATTTTAAATGCCTTATTTCCTGCCAATCTTATATCTGTTTCCAGAGAAGAGAAAGTTGCCCACTCTGCCAGCGCCTTTGTCAGCTGCCAGCTGTTACTTCCCTAGAAAGGGGGTCAGAAGGCTGCTGGTAGCTAGTAGCCAGCCAGAAGCTGCGAGAAAGAACCGTCCCTCATGGGTGTTAGCTGCTGGCTGATTGTCAGCTGAGAGCTGCAAGTTCTGATTTAATAAAAGCCGGCTATAGATTTCAAACCATTTTTTTTCCTTTTTCCATTTGTGCTCTGAAATTGTCGCGCACTCCGAATGGAACTCTGCAAGCACGCAGGCCTTTGTTCTGCCTTGTTAGTGCCAGCAGTAGAGTCCTCTCCAGACAGACACTTTGCAGGGTGGCCAGTGGGGTGAGGCGGGAGGAGAGGGGTTGGGCTGGAGAAGCGACACAATGCCCGGCGGCCCATGTGCAACCCGGGTGCGGATGGACACATCAGAGAGGGTCTCCTGAATGCTCTGAGAGGTCGGCTCAGACTCTGGTTGTTTTTGTGACAGCTGGTGGTAGAGTAGGATGTGCCGGTAGGTCAGAGTCAGAATTTATTGACTGAAGCCCCCTGAAATGAAATGAGTCACCAGCTCCCTGCGCCAGGCATGAAATCCAAATCTGAAACTGTCCCCAGGCTCACAACTGTTCCCATAGGCCAGCAGTCAAGAATTCCCTTCTCTGAGACGTGGTGTGGAACTCAGAGCTCTGTGGATTTCAGAGGTTTGGGCGAGAGGAAGGGGGGCAGCAGGAATTCTGCACAACGGTGTGCTTTAAATTCAGAGGCTTAGGGGCTGTCATGTGCAATGCATCAACGATGAAAAATAAACACCCAGCAGAAGCTGGCTTGGAGTTAAGGCGAGTGCACAATAAATTTCAACTGGTTAAATTAATCGCTCACTGCCTGTTGTGAATATTAATCCCAGGGAGGGAGCTGGCTTCAACCCAACCAAAAGACAGGTGAAAACTGAGAACAGCAAAGCATTTGGGATCTTTAGAGGGAAGGCTTACCTGTGAGCCAGGCGTTGATGCTGAGTCCTAAAGAGAAGCAGAATCTGCAATACAGCCCCGCCTGCTTCACAGGCACAGCTGTGCTGCAAGACCAGCCCACCTTGCCCTCAGCCCTCATCTGTCCCCTCGGGGGCTCCTCAGGGACTTGTATGAGAAAGGCCTGGCCTGAGGCTGTGCAAGATGAAAGAGGCAAGCCTTCTAATTTGTTTTTTTTTTCTTGTAGTAAAATATACATGACATAAAATGTATCATTTTAACCGTTTCCAGTTCGGTAGCATTAAGTACATTCATGGTGTTCTGCAACCATCACCACTACCAGTTTCCAGAATTTTTTCATCATCCCAAACAGAAACTCTGCACCCATTAAACAAGAGTTCCTCATTCTCCCCTCTCCCAGCCCCTGGCAACCTCTATTCTACTTTCTATCCCTATAAATTTGAGTACTCTAGGCATCTCATATAAGTGGAACCATGTAATACTTGTTCTTTTATGTCTGGCTTATTTCACTTAGCATAATGTTTCCAAGGTTCATGTGTGTTGTAACGTGTATCAGTACTTCATTCCTGTTTAAGGCTGAATAATATTCTGTTTTATGTCTGCACCACGTTTTGTGTATCCATTCATCCATGGAGGACATTTGGGCTCTTTTCACCTTTTGACCGCTATGAATAGTGCTACAATGAACATGGGTGAACAAAAATCTGTTCAAGTCCCTGCTTTCAGTTCTTCTGGGTATATACTGATGTAGAATATTCTGATGTAGAATTGCTGGATCACATAGTAAGTCTATGTTTAACTTTTTGAGGGATCACCAGACTGTTTCCTAATAATGATCTCTTTTGTCGTTTAGGGAATAGAACTGATCTCCGTAGTAGATGGCCGTTTATGGAATGACCTTGATAGGACATGGTTGGCTGTGAAAGGTGAGATCCCTTTCAGTGATCAGGAGAAAGGTTACCACCCAGAAAAAGGAACTAGACGGTATTGGCCTGATAAAGTTGCAAGAATATTGTCTTCCCTGGGTGGTGCTGAGCCAGGGGTCTAAGACCCTGAAAGAACAGAGAGAAGTCTCTGTAGAGAGGGGGCCAAGCTCTGCACCACCAGGGTCCGGGGTCCTAAGGTGAAAGATGACCAAGGAGATCTTTGCCAATGAAGCTAGAAAGCCCCATAGTTGATTTTATTGAGAAATTGCTTACTTGGTCTGCCCTAGGCTGTAATTCCCCTCCATTGTCCCTAAACCTTCAGCTAAAATCTCTTATGTGCAAGGCCCTGCGAGCAAATGGGAGGGACAGAGAGGTGGGAGAGGGGCTCTCCAAAGTTGGGGGAGATGGGCTGCACCCATGCTGAGTGGAAGCAGGAACTGAGTGTGGGGCACGTCAGAAATCCTACGGGAAATGAGGTGGGGACTGCAGCCACTTGGAGTAGAAATTAAAGGAAAAGACAATTGCAGACAAAGGGAAGACTTGGGGCTTTCCAGGTTATCCCGAGAATACCATGCCTTGGAGCAGAAGAACCAGAGCCACTGGAGGTGAAGCTCCAGCATCATATGTGGGCAGAATATTAGTGAATGTTCTAGCAGGCCAGAAACAGAGACTCGCCCTCTTGGAGCCAAGTTTCGGCAAAATGCACAGCCTGTGAAACAACTTTGTGGCTTTCAGGGAGCTGGGTGACACTGGGGCAGCTTAGTTTAGATCTAACTTCCCACTACCATAAGGAACATTCCCCGAACAAGTCACTCCGGGGCGATGCAGAGCAGGGACTGGCCTGGGAATGTGAACTTGCTCAGACAGAGACGCCTCACACGGAGACAGGACCTCATACCGGTCTGTCGCCTCAGTAAGGCCACCGTGGGTATCAGAACCCTGACTTTGATGATCAGATTGGGTCACCTCTGTCCAGAGATTCATCTGTAGAAACACAAGGGAGGTTTCTTTCATCAATACTGTAAGCAACGAAAGACTTGTTATCATGAAATAGACCCACACTCTGTAGGAAGACTGAGGTGTCTTTTCATCCATCTCTAGTTACACTTTTACACAGCAAACTAAAAGATTCACTATCATTTTAGTTCTGAAACAAGTCCTGTGTTTCTCTTAGCTGAAGGTCTGGGGATTAGAGCCCATGTGACTAAGGGGTTACCCTCCCATCTCCTCAGTCTGGTCCCTCTTCTGCACGTCCTACCTTGTTCTCATCCCACACCGTCTGCTCCGTGCAGGTTGTTCACACCTGCATCAGAGCCTTTATCACTAAGTCTCAGGCTTTGCCAATACAGGAAAGGAAAACAAATGATACAAAAAATAAACCACTGTAGGTGCATGTCTGAATTCTAGAGATGGAGGGTGGGTGCCCGGGGTGAGGAAGAGAGGAAGCAGAAGAAAAATGGCTTGATTGTTTAGGAAAACACCTGTTTGGTTATGAAAGGTGAGCCTCCTGGCAGGAGAACCAAAGTCATCTGCATAACGAGGTTGTAGGAATTAGGGGCTTCCCCGCAGGCATCAAGGGAGACTTGTGCCCCATTACCCAGAATAGGGTAAAAGGGATCAGAATAGGCTCCAAAAATGGCTAAGGTCAGGGCTTAAGGAGAAAAGGAACTCCAGTGAGAAACTCTCCATGACAGGCAAAGCTGCGGGTCCTCAGAATAGCGATACCTCCCTCGGGCCTGTGCTGTAGAATTTTGCTGCTTAAATTGTGGTCCACAGAATAGCAGCATCAGTAGCACCTAAGAGCTTGTTAGAAATGTAGAATCCCAGGCCCCACCCCAGACTTTACTGGACCAGAATCTGTCATTTCAAAGCTCCCCAGGCAATTTAAATGTACACTAAATTTTCATAAGCGATGTTTTTAGAGCATTGGTCTGCAGCTTTGGCTGTGCATTGGAATTGCCCAGGAAACTTTAAAAAATACTGACAGCCCACCACCAGAACTCTCAGGTGATTCTAATATGTAGCAAAATCTGAGAACCACTGCCTTAGAGGGCTCCAATCTGGACTTTTTCTGGCTGTGCCCCTGTGCGTGGTGGGAGGTGTCCATGGGCCAGGGGTGCACTGATAAACAGGCTATCCAGAAAAAAAAAAGGTTGATTTGTAGATTGAAATGTTTGCCAGTTTCCACTCCCCCCACAGCACAGCTGATTTCAAGCTACCAGTACGACGCCCTGAAAGTGGAGTTAGGAAGCGATGATTTTTTTTTTTAAATAAATTTACTTACTTGTTTTTGGCTGCATTGGGTCTTTGTTGCTGCACGTGGGCTTCCTCTAGTTGTGGCGAGCGGGGGCTACTCTTCCTTGCGGTACACGGGCTTCTCATTGTGGTGGCTTCTCTTGTCGTGGAGCACGGGCTCTAGGCGAGCGGGCTTCAGTAGTTGTGGTGCACGGGCTCAGCAGTTGTGGCGCACGGGCATAGCTGCTCCGCGACGTGTGGGATCTTTCCAGACCAGGGCTCGAACCCGTGTCCCCTGCATTGGCAGGCAGTTTCTTAAGCACTGCGCCACCAGGGAAGTCCAGGAAGCAATGATTTGACTCTCAAGAACCTGTGCTAACTGGCACACCACCGCATGGGGCCAGTGGGGTGTGTCTACACCGAGTCTCTCCCCGTCCTTCAGGACCTTGGAATACCCTGATGCTATGCAGGCCTCTTCCCAAAGGGGGTGGTTCAGAGTTTAAGCATGGGCCATAGTGTTCACAGCTGAGGTTCCACGTGTGCAAGATGTAGCTGGTGTTAGGAAGGGCATGGGAGAGAGGGTGAGAGTTGGGCCTCCAGTGCTTTCTTGCCCCATCCCTGTCAATGTAGGAGTGGGCCTGCCGAATAGGCATGCCCCATTTTGAGTTTGCATCTCCTTCCTGAGCTCTGCTATGGCATGGTGGCCTTCTGTTATCACCACGCATCCCCGGTCCCTAAGAACACGCTTAGCATGCTGCTTTGGGCTTAGGTGTGCTTTGGGGAATCGGTGGGGAGACAGTGCTCCTGCACTGGGTGAGGGAAGGAGAGAGAGGACCCCACACGTGGGAGGCAAGAGGACTTGAAGGATCAGGAATTTAAGTGGGAATCCCCAGGAGGATATGACTCACCATCCACTCTCCAGGAGCCCTTGGAAATGTTGGGGAGGTACTGGACTTCCCACAGGATGCAGGAGATGGACTTAAGGCATTTCATTTATTTGTTAAAGGAAGGATGATTTCTAAAGTCTGGAGGACTTAGGACAAAGAGTCCAGAGCCTGGAGTTGGATTGCAAGGGTTAAGTTCCCAGCTCCACCACGGACTAGCCTGTGGCCTTGGGGAAGTGGCTTAAGCTTCCATTTCCTGCTCTGTTTCTACCTTGGGGAGTGTATCGGAAGCTAGTGTGCCCTTGGAAGGCAGAGAGTTGGGGCAGATCCGGGGCAGGAAGGGGTCAAGGAGGGCAGAGGGCCAGGTGGCAGTCACGCTGGGAGGCCCAGAGGGGGCAGCCAGTGAGGAGGTGAGACAGAACAGGCAGCAGCCTCTGTGAGAGGAGTCTCCCGGGAAGATGATGCCCTGAAAGAAGGGCACCCAGAACCGATGAAGGGAAATGATTAATGAAAAAAGGTCAAAGACAAACATCACCTCCTTCCCAGGTTGTTAGCACCAGCCTTCTCCCTCTCACCCAAATGCCGAGTAACACTTCCTTTAAAATAGTCAAAGGGTGAGGACTTGAGCCCCACAAATTGCTGGAAACCCAGCCTCTCAAAGGACCTGAAAGCTCCCCAGAAGGCTGACATTTCTACCGTGTGTGTGTGTGTGTGTGTGTGTGTGTGTGTGTGTGTGTGTGTACGAGAGAGGGAGGTTGTCCCATGTATTGTGAGGGTCTTAGCTTCCTTGTCACCCTCAATGACTGTCAGAGGCAGGCTCTTCTTTGCTTGTATGTTTCCAACCCAGAACTAGGCCATCTTCAGGGAGTCCCAGCCAGCAACTTCCTCTCTTAGACTAGCTTCCCTTCCTTCAGAGGACGTGCCCTCTCTCCTGGGGCCTGGCCCTATCCAGGAGGCCCCAAGAGGGGAAGAGCTTAGTATCCCATTCTGTTCCAAGGTCTGTCTTAGTCCTCAAATCCTTTCTATGGTTGAGCTCTTCTCAAGATGATTAATAAGCTTCAAGGAAAATCTATCCTCTACCTAAAGCTCTTGGGGGGAAAATGGTTTCAGATGCAATTTTAGTGTGAGAATTCCAGTAAGACAATCAAATCAAAGCCCAATAGGAGTCTTGTACAACATTACATACCTAGGATATAGGTTCCGGTGTTATCAAGGACCCAGACTCCTTTCCTCTTGTTGCTCCCCCATCCTTGGGGTGTTGCTGTCACCACATGGTCCCCCAACAGCTCACCCCCACCACCAAATCCACGCTGTAGCCAATGAGACGGGGAAGAAGAGGAAGACATGCCCCTTTGCTCAAAGGGCATATGACACTTCTCATTTCTCTTGGATCAGAACCTAGTCCGCATGGCCATCCCTACTGACAGGAAGGCTGGGTAACAGAGTCTTTATTCTGGGGAGCCATTTGCCCAACAAAAGATTCTACTACTGGGCTTCCCTGGTGGCGCAGTGGTTGAGAGTCTGCCTGCCGATGCAGGGGACGCGGGTTCGTGCCCCGGTCCGGGAAGATCCCACATGCCGCGGAGCGGCTGGGCCCGTGAGCCATGGCCGCTGAGCCTGCGCGTCCGGAGCCTGTGCTCCGCAACGGGAGAGGCCATAACAGTGAGAGGCCCGCGGAACGCAAAAAAAAAAAAAGATTCTACTACTATGGCAGAAGAAGAGAGTGAATGCCGGGGTTCACTCTGAGCCTCCGCTCAGACATCAACAACGCAAACTGGGTTGAGCTGCACCAAGCTTGGTCCAGTTCCCTGAGAGAGTGTCCTGGGGAAGGTGAGGAGCAAGTCAGCTTACCCTCCAGGAGCGCCGAGGTGAGCACTTAGAAGCTGCTCACATCGTCACCATCTTCAGATAAGAGCAAGGTGCCCAGTGGGAAAAGACTATTTCCACAGAGAACAGAAAAGCCCAACAGGGACCTGAGGCTCTGCCCTCACTAATGAGAAGACCCACAGGCTCTCCTCTACGTCTAGACCCTGTGCCGAAGAGAAAGAGGGAGAAATGCCAACTGTTCAATAATTACCAAGGAGAGACAGAACTGAAGGAGACTGAATTACTCTCACTGGCAAGCATATGGTCCTTTCCCCACAATTTAGTGGAATGGGAGCTCACTAGGAGAGGTAGAATAGCTATAGGAAAAAAAGGTTGTGGAGGGACTTCCCTGGCAGTCCAGTGGTTAAGGCACTGTGCCTCCACTGCAGGGGATGTGGGTTTGATCCCTGATCAGGGAACTAAGATCCTGCATGCCACCGTGTAGCATGGCCAAAAAAAAAAAAGCGTTGTGGAGTTTTGGGGGTTTTGGTGTAATCTAAAAGTTAAAACTCTCTCTCTTTCTGTCTCTGTCTCTCTCTCTCTGTCTCTCTCTGTCTCTCTGTCTCTCTCTGTCTCTCTCTCTCTGTGACACACACACACACACACACACACACACGAGTAAAATTTACTGGCCTATTGTTTTTAAGGTGAAGTTCTAAGAGCATCTTTCTTACAGGTAGAACCGCCGCTATCCCTGTTTATGCAATCTGCCAGCCAGGCAAAGCTGAAAGGGAAGATCTTTTAAATGAAAAGAATACATAATTTTTCTCCTGCCAGGAAGGTGTGAGCATCAAGGCAACAAGCTGAGCCAGTGAAGACAAGTCTGCTTGTAATACCTAAGCTTTCAGGTGGCCTGAGAGGTAAGGTGGTCACTCTGTTCCCAGAACAGAACGCAGAGCAGAGCAGGCAAAAGCCCTCAGGAGGTACGTGGTTGGGCCTTTGGTTTTTTCTTTTTTTTTTTTTTTTTTGCGGTACGCGGACCTCTCACTGTTGCGGCCTCTCCCGTTGTGGAGCACAGGCTCCGGACGCGCAGGCTCAGCGGCCACGGCTCACGGGCCCAGCCGCTCCGCGGCATGTGGGATCCTCCCGGACCGGGGCACGAACCCGTGTCCCTTGCATCAGCAGGCGGACTCTCAACCACTGCACCACCAGGGAAGCCCGGGCCTTTGGTTTTTGCTCAACTGGATCCTCACATGTGTTTGGATTCTCTGATTTGCAGTAAATTCTCTAACATACAAGACACCCTTATTTAATTGTTAGCATAAGAACGTCTTATTGCTGCATACGAATATTTTAATATCATCTACTATTTTGTTGAGTTTTGTTTCTTTACAGTATTGACCGATAACTGACTCTTGGTATACTAATTGAATTATGCATTTATTTGATAGTCATTATTATTATACTAGCTAATATTTATCGAGCGCAATGCCAGACACTGCACAGAGGTCATTTTATCTAATCTTCCATAACAATCTCAGGGCTGCGGTACGCAGTTATGCAGTTGGTGCCCGGCTGAGAAGGCAAAATCAACCCTGGTCCCCCACCCACCAAGCTCTGTGCTGGGGCAGAGGTCTCATGCCCCTGGAGGAAAGGAGATGTCTTCTTTACACAAAGGCAACAGCCAGAATCAGTGCATTGGGAGCCTTGATCACCAATGAAAGAGAGACCTTATGTCTCCCATTATCCAGATTAAGAATCCGAGGTACAAAGAGGTTAAGAACTTCCCTAAGGTCACATGGCTGGCAGGAGGTGGTCGAGAGACTAGTCCAGCAGCCAGACTTGCAGCCCAGGCTCTCAACCCGGATGTTGTTGGTGTAGTGTCTTCCCCACCCCCGGGAATGCTCAGTCTTAGGTTGTGAGTGCCCAGAAGACAAGCATTTGTGTCCACATGAGTTGCCTTGGGTTCTACGCAACACGCTACATCAGTGAGCAGATGAGATGCATTCTTGACACTAAAGGAATGATTGCTCAGATCTTTGGGCAGAAATCTCCAGCTACTGCAGCCAGCTGCTTTAGACTGGAATTTCACGATGTAACAGGAAGAGAAGAGGCATTGAGAACTGTCAGGGAAACAAAACCCTGAGGAAATCAACCCTCTTGATTCTGACAACAAACAAAAGTTTGGAGTCTGGAGGCCAGGCAGCGCAGTTTGCTCAGTGGGGAAAGCTTAACGAGAACTGTCCACGTACCTCCCTTGCACCCATACTTCACGTCTTTGTGGAGCCTTGAAAGATCAGTCTGTCCATAAAATATAACTGCCTTCTAACTTTGCACCCAAATTCCCCCCATTTAATGCATTTCTCTGGGTTATAGTTGTCCTACCTGCCACCAGCACCCTCCACTTCCTTCCTGCTTGCTCCCTGATGCCTGAAATTCCTTGAACATGGAACAAAGGGTTTCATTTCATAGAGAGTGATGAAGCTTAAAATGCAAGCGCCCCTCAGAGAGGTAGCACAATGATTTAAATTCACACCGTGTAGCTGAGGTATAAATGAGGGATTAGGTTTTTTCCTGAGAGGACCTTTAGATGAGGGAAAGGCAGAAGAGAGAATAAGGATACTAGAAAAAACGGTGCTGGAGAAAGGACAGTCTAGAGAGGGTAAAGGGCGCAGAAAGGAGGTGAATCTGTGTGGCCTCAGCATATGTCCGCACCCACCTTGAGCCCCCGGTGGGTACTGGGCAGCCCAGTGCAGGGGAGAGGCGTGGCTTTCTTAGGGAGTCAGCTCTGGTCTGAAACCCAGCTGTGCAGCCGTAACAAGCTGCCTGACTTCTGTGCACCTTAATTTCCTCACATGTAAAATGAGGGAAATAAAACCCACCATGCAGGCCTGCTTTGGGGACTATTTTATTTGAATTGTGATGAAATAACATAACATAAAATTTACCATCCTAACCACTTTTAAGTGTACAGTTCAGTGGCATTAAGTACATTCACACTGTTGTGTAACCAGCACCACTATTTATTTCCAGAACTCTTTTCATCTTGCAAAACTGAAACTCTATACCCACTAAGCAATAACTCTGCGTTCCTGCCTCTTCTCAGTCTTTGATAGCCACCATTCTACTTTGTCTCTATGAATCTGACTGCTCTAGGTGCCTCAGCTAAGTGGAAACATACAGTACTTGTCCTTTTATGACTGACTTATTTCACTTAGAATAATGTCCTCCAGGTTCATCCCTGTCATAGTACATGTCAGAATTTCCTTCCTTTTATAAGGCTGATTAATATTCCATTGTATGTGTATACCACATCACATTTTGTTTATCCATCCATCCATCGATGGACACGTGGGTTGCCTTCTACCTTGGCTGTAGTGTATAATGCTACTATGAACATGGTGTACAGATTTCTCTTCAAGACTCTCTTTTCTTGAGGGTTTCTTTGAGACCCTCAGTTCTTCTGGGTATACACCCAGAAATGGAATTATTGGGTCATATGGTAATTCTATTTTTAATTTTTTGAGAAATCACCATACTATTTTTCACACAGGCTGCACCGTTTCACATTCCACCAATGGTGCACATGGATTCCAATTTCTCCACGTTCTCCCTGACACTTGTTATTTTCTCATTTTTAATAGTAACTATCCTAATTTGTTTTAATTGAAGTATAGTTGATTTTCAATATTGTGTTCCAGGTGTACAGCAAAGTGATTTGGTTATGCATGTATATGTATACATATATTCTTTTTTTCTATTCTTTTCCATTATAGTTTATTACAAGATATTCAATATAGTTCCCTGTGCTATACAGTAAGTTCTTGTTGTTTATCTATTTTATATATGGTAGTGTGCATCCATTAGTCCCATACTCCCAATTTATCCCTCCCCACCCTTCCCCTTCAGTAACCATAAGTCTTGTCTCGATGTCCATGAGTCTGTTTCTGTTTTGTAAATAAGTTCTTCTGTATCATATTTTAGATTCCACATATAAGTGATATCACATGATACTTGTCTTTGACTTACTTCATTTAGTATGATAATCTCTAGCTCCATCCATGTTGTTGCAAATGGCATTAGTTTATTCGTTTTTATGGCTGAGTAATATTCCATTGTATATATGTACCACATCTTCTTTATCCATTCATCTGTTAATGGACACTTAGCTTGCTTCCATGTCTTGGCTATTGTAAGCACTGTTATGCTTACACTGTTATGTTTACAAGTGCTGTTATGAACATTGGGGTGCATGTATCTTTTCAAATTAGTTTTCATCTTTTCCAGATATATGCCCAGGAGTGAGATTGCTGGATCATATGGTAACTCTCCTTTTAGTTTTTGTTTATTTATTTATTTATTTATTTATGGCTACATTGGGTCTTCGTTGCTGTGCGCGGGCCTTCTCTAGTTGCAGTGAGTGGGGGCTACTTTTCGTTGTGGTGCGTGGGCTTCTCATTGCGGTGGCTTCTCTTGTTGCGGAGCACGGGCTCTAGGTGCATGGGTTTCAGTAGTTGTGGCTCGCAGGCTTTAGAGCACAGGCTCAGTAGTTGCGGCGCATGGGCTTAGTTGCTCTGCAGCATGTGGGATCTTCGTGGACTAGGGCTTGAACCTGTGTCCCCTGCATTGGCAGGCGGATCCTTAACCACTGCACCACCAGGGAAGTCCCTATTTTTAGTTTTTTTAAGGAACCTCCATACTGACTGTACCAATTTACATTCCCACCAACAGTGTAGGAGGGTTCCCTTTTCTGCACACCCTCTCCAGCATTTATTATTTATAGACTTTTTTTTTTTTTTGCGGTATGCGGGCCTCTCACTGTTGTGGCCTCTCCCGTTGCGGAGCACAGGCTCTGGACGCGCAGGCTCAGCGGCCATGGTTCACGGGCCCAGGCGCTCCACGGCATGTGGGATCTTCTCGGACCGGGGCACGAACCCGTGTCCCCTGCATCGGCAGGCGGACTCTCAACCACTGCACCACCAGGTAAGCCTATATATAGACTTTTTAAGGATGGCCATTCTGACCCATGTGAGGTGACCCATGTCATTGTAGTTTTGATTTGCATTTTTCTAATAATTAGCGATTTGAGCATCTTTTCATGTGCCTGTTGGCCATCTGTATGTCTCCTTTGGAGAAATGTTTATTTAGCTCTTCTGCCCTAACCATCCTAATTTTTAAATATAACCTGAATAAAGTTGCCCATATACATGTCCAAAAGTCAAACAAATGAGTACAGAGAAGACTTGGAGAATAACATGGGATTATTTATCACAGACTTTCTTGAAGGGCAGAGGATCCCTCCTGCTCTCTCACTACTACACTGTGTCTCTTCAACCTCCTCTGTGGGGCTCGTGCTACTTTCTCATCATCCCTTTCCAAACGTTCCTCTCTCATCTGACTTGCCCTGCTGTGTTCAGCCTCCACAGGAAGTAGAATCTGGTCTCAATGTGCTTTTCCCTCTTGGAAAGCAGCTGTCTGGAATTCTGGTGAATAAAATTTTCCACTCCATTATACAGATAATGAAAATCACCTGACATATAGTAGATAATAAATGGTAGCTAATCTTCTGGTACCTATCTCGCAGGGGTACTGTGAACAGTTAAGTGCATAAATAAATGCACACGAAGTTCTTAGAACACTTAAGCGCTGAGGTTAGCTGTTATTATTGTACTGGTGGTAATGGGGAGCTCAGTCTGTTACGATTTAATCCCTTTGTAGCAAGAGATGCTGCCAACAACTTTGGGTCCAGTTGACCACTCTGAGGAAAGTCACCTTGGAGCAGATAATCTTTGGCCTTTCCAGAACTTTAAAGTGTTCCCCTTTAAGTATGCAAATGTAAGGTGAATAGATGCCATCGCCCTGGGGTAATGGAATGACAGAGCTTTTGTGGCTTGACAGAAGCTGCTGTTCCCAATATACCCTTTGTAGGGGAAGGAGATGAATAAATCTGTACGGGGCTCAAGGAACCTCTTGAAAAGAAAAAGATTGAGAGGTAATCCTTTCCACATGAGAGTTTGTGTTTCCAGGACCT